AGGGGACGCGCGCAGGGCGCGACCGTTGGCCGGGCGCGGGCGCCATCTTGTGCCCGGCAGCCGCTCCTGCCCTGGAAATGGCAGGAAATTGCGGAGTATGCGTTTAATCCAAAGGAAAAAAAAATACAGTACGCATGCTTTGTATAACCAGTCAGAAAATGTAAGACTTGTCTTTAAAAGCCAGAGATCTACAGCTCTGCAGTGGCGCAGGACAAGCACAGGAGAGACCGTGGGCGTTGCTAGGTGTCTTCAGGTACTCCCTGATCGTTTTGGGACACTCGCTGGCCCCCACCAGACAGAAGGGGGAAAGCAAAACCAAAGTAAAATCTCAAAGGTAGTGCTAGTTATTTTGCAGAGCAGCACAGCTTCAAAGCTTCAACTGGGGAAGGTGAAGCTGTGAGAATGCAAAAACAACAACAACAAAACAAAAAACACCCCCCCCAAAACAAACAAACAAACAAACCAGTCATTTATTGTGGTATTGACACCGTAATCCAGACTGCAGAGCAGGGATTTAAACTTGAATGCACTGCAAGCTAGACTTAAGACACCTGGTTTCTAAGAGAGTTTACAAGTCAGGACTGCCCCTGTGGTGCTCATAAACTCAGTATCCTTCCTTTGCACATACAGCTGAGGTGAGTTTTCACGCCCTTGAACTGGAAATGTCATGCACTCTTGCTGACTATGCAAGAAAACAATGAGGCCAATGTGCAGAAGGAGAGAGAGTGGGAAGGAGAGCTGTGTACCTACTGATAACAGCACTATGCAGCTGGGAAGCTGTAGCTGGGATTATTTTCTCAAGCATACATAAACCACTGGAGCTTCGTTTTGTTTGTGATCCCCTAACTTTCTGATTTTACAGAGCCGCTGAGGTACAGCACAGCTAGTGCCGTAACTGGACCCTTAGCAAAAGCCTTGAAGCAAGGGTCTCATGTGAGCTACAAATGGTCTTGTGCTAGAAGCGTCAACTGTCACCCTCTTTGCTTTTGCTCTCAGGCTGATGAGATATGTTACACAACTGATGCCCTTTATGCTTTTTCATGAGCTTCCCGGCACGCTGAAGATCCCACTAGGTGGCAGGACAGTTAAGCGCTTAGTATTTCTACCCAAGTTGCTTTGGGGCAAGTAACTGCAGCCCTGTTGGTCTGTGTAGCTCTGAGCAGTGTGTGGACCCAGACGAATGCACACTGGGTCTGGGGTTCATGCTTCCCGAGCACAGCAAACATGGCCTGTGCCAAACTGATGGAGAAACATCTGGTGCTTACTGGCACTTCTCTATATTCCTTTTCATGGGTTTTATCAAACACAGCGCAGCAGCTGATGCAACACAGCAATCCTAAATAATTTTCTAAATCTTGCAGTACTCTTCTTTCTGTGTGTGATGCACAAAGTATAATTTAAAAATCTTCTAGCCACAGTTGTGTTGTTCCTAACTAATGTCCTGAAGGTTATGACTTCGATTATTGTCATATTTACTAGCTGAGTTGTGACTGTATGACTTCTTACAATATAGGTGTGATAATGAAGGATATAGCATTTTCTGTCTCTGATGTCAGACAGTTATCATTCACGACACAACTATGAATATGCTGGAGTGAAAACTGAAAATAGCAAAAGCATCAGATAATAGTTTGATACATGATTCTTCTATAGCAGTAGCCAAGTATTATTTAAATAAATGGTCTCTATACAAACTGTGAACCTCAAATGCTGAAATGGATGGTGCATCAGCAATGGCAAATGGCCTGTCATTTATTATCATGCATTTACTACATCCATATATAGTTAGTATAACAATACCAATTTCTTTTAAATTATGTTTCAAGGTATTCTGGACTGTATGGTAAACATGAAGAACTTTTGACTTTTTGTCCATATAACATATATCCATATAATCTTTTTTTTAACTGCTAGGCCCAATTTAGAAACATATGGAGATTCCTGGTGGTCAGGATTCAGTGCTCTCACCGCTGAGGCCTGGGTTCAATTTCTGATCAAGGAAGCTTCTTTTCCAGGCCTGTCAGCCTGTGCTTGATATGGAGGAAAGTTATGGAGCAGATCATCTGGAAGGCAATCACCAACCAGGGGACTGCCTGCCTGACCAACCTGATGTCCTTCTTTGACCAGGTGACCCACCTACCGCATGAGGGAAAGGCTGTGAACCTGGTCTACTTATACTTCAGTAGGGTCTTTGACACCATCTCTCACTGCCTTCTGGAGAAGCTGGCAGCTCATGGCTTACACAGGTATACTGTGCTGGGTGAAGAAGAGGCTGGATGGCCAAGCCCAAAGAGTGGTGGTGAATGGAGTTAAATCCAGCTGGCAACCAGTCATGAGCAGTGTTCCCCAGAGGGCTAGGTGGTGTTGAGGCTGATCCTCTTTAATCACAGAATGGTTGAGACTGGAAGAGACCTCTACAGATGATCAACCCCTCTGCTCAAGCAGGAACACCTAGAGCACGTGGCACAGGGTAGCATCCAGGCAGGTTTTGAAGATCTCCAGAGGAGACTCCACAACTTCTCAGAGAGTGTCTCAGCAGAGTGGCTGGAGAGCTGTGTGGCAGAAAATGATCTGGGGGTGTTGGTCAACATCTGGCTTAACATGAGCCAGCAGTGTGACTAGGTGGCCTAGAGGGCCAACGGCCTCCTGGCTTGTATCAGGCTTATATAAGGATCTACTTTATGCAGAGCTTCTGAGGGAGCTGGGATTATTTAGTCTGGAGAAGAGAGGGGAGACCTTATCACTCTATAATTATCTGAAAGGAGGTTGTGGTGAGGCGTGGGGTTGATCTCTTTTCCCGAATACCTCCCGATTAGTGTAAGAAGAAATGGTCTCAAATTGCGCCAGGGGAGATGCAAGTTAGATATTAGGAAAATACCTCTACACAGAAAGAATGTCCAGGCATTGGAACAGGTGCCCAGGGAAGAGGTGGAATCACCATCCCTGGCAGTGTTAAGAAATGTGTAGATGAAGTGCTTAGGGACATGGTTTAGCAGGCAGGGTGTTGAAGGGCTTAAGAGTTGAACTTGATGCTCTTGAAGGTCTTTTCCAGCCATAATGATTCTATGATTTATGCACCAAGGTTCAACAAAGGACTGGCAATAGGACTGCACCCACAAGAATGTGTAGTGTAGATACACTGAATACCTCTCCACTGTGGTTTTCAACCCCGGTCCTCCCATGTGAGTTAGTTCAGTCCCTCAGTCCTCCTAAGCCACCTGTTTTGTTCCAGTAGAAGAGGCTATTTGACCTTTTTAAACTTGGAAGTAAGTCTGGGATGTTGCACATGTTGCATGAGTAAAGATAAGAGGTGAGAACAGTTGGATGAAATCTTTACTGAATAGTCCGTAAAAAACAACCCATGTATAAATGCACAGTATTAATGGTAGCCTCTTACAAGCTCTCCTCAAGCTATAAATGCACAAGTTCTTTACAGATGGACTACAGGGAACATAACTATGAGAGATGCTTCCTCCAGCTGGCTACAATCCAGTGGAGAGACTGAGTGGTCAAGTGAAAGGACCACCCTGTCAATGTTGGTTAAGTTTCAGGAAGCTGCTGCCTCAGGCTGCTGTGAAGGGCCAGATCTGCACGTGAACCCTAGGTCTCCCGCACCCGAGGGATGAATGCTGAGCACTCTCAGCAGCATGACCACTGTAACAAATCAAGGTCTTTAGCAAAGGGAAAAGACGCTTTGTTTAAAAACATCTTTGTAAAAAACACAGTGACTGAAATGTTTCCATCAGGAAACCCAAACCAGGTGAAATACACTTATAAACTACAGGGCTTTGAGTCTTGTCATAAAGGAGAGACATCAAAGATTCAACAGAAGGCAGAAAAGAGGATAGCTGTTTATTTCCCACTGTGAGATTAAACAATTTTAGTCATTTATAAATGTGACTTTTATTTTAGATACACATAAACAGCTACAATATTAAGCTTGAGAACAGAAATGATGGAAGCAGCAAGACTGCTGGGAATGGGAGAACTGAGATGGTCTGCATAATTGAATAAATGCAAGAGAGGTTAAAAACATACACTGCTGGATTAAGTAGTAATACAAAACCTTTTGCAATCAGGAGTTGAGAGAAAAAAAAAGATTTTATTTCTTTACCCTATCTATATATCCCTAAAGAGAACAAAAATCTCAAGAAATAAATTACAGATGGTTTTCTGTAATTTAATACATACTGAATATCATCTTAAGGTGAAGAGTGAATATACCTATGTGTTAGAGAGAAAAAAGTTGCTTTGGAAAATTACGAAATAGAAATTTTATTCTGAAGCAGCCATTACTTGGCACATCTGCTAACTATACTCTTTGAAACTACCAAAGAAGACTGTTTAGGATGAGTATTACAACTATTTAAAAAAACCCAAACAACAGATACATTCTTTAGTTCTCATTGCATTTAGATTTGTAGAACATTGTTTATGATGGACTACTGTAGAAAAAAAATCATTAGTTCCATGTTAATGTCATCTAGATACAAGTATGATGTAAAATGTTTTCTGTGTTGCTACCACACTTCAGAACTGGTGATACGGAGAAACTCTAGAAAGTCTGCTGATGGGTTTCATTAATCCAGCAAGTCCTTAGGTGTTAGGAATCACTGCTCTTTCCTCCTGACTCTTGACTTTCCAGCGATGCTTTGGATGGCGATACCTCTCCACCCTCTGCTCCTTCATCTAAAAAAGACAGAATAAAATATATATACCACAAAAATTCTCACAGCATTCTAATTGCAGCTAAATATTTAGGTTTACTAATGATTACTGTTTGGATCAGCTCTTTATTGCTACAATAAGTGCTTTGGAAAGTGCTTTTAAACTAAAAGATAAAGAACTTGCACAAACATCTTCCAAAAGCCATGTCCTGTTGGTGCTGATTTGTGTGCTCCTTGCACATACTGATCAATGAGCATTTGGTAGTGAGAATCAGATGGGAGAAAACTTTCTATTATTATATTCATTTTTATGCATTGCTCTGTTTCAGGTGCATTGTCCTTCTTGGCCATGAAATGCCTAGGAGAATTCACCTTGCCTTCACAAGTTGAAGGGTTTTTTTTTTGTTGTTGTTCTTCTTTGGAAGTTCACTCTTCCACAGATTGGACTGGAATGTTCACAGGACTAGTGAGTGAAATAATCATTTTCACAATATCTTCCAGTCCCACATGGCATTACCAATGCTACCAGAACATTTTCTGTACCAAAGTGTGACAGTCTGTGTCTTCTGGTGGCAAGAAAAGGTTTGCTCAGTGCATCCAGTTATGCTGTCCTTCAGGTCTTATCCACCTTACTATTCATACTCTAAGGGGCACTTTTTCAACACTTTTTTTCCCAGGGTCTTGCCATAAAACACCATGAACAGGCAAAAGAATTATGTATCTTGGTCTAATATAAGGGGAGCTTTGGAGACAGGATAGAGGAAAACATAGTTTGCTAGAGGAAATGTAACCTCACACTTGATAGTGCATACATGCGCCACAAGTACCAAACTGCTGAGTGTATCAAGATCTGGAAAGATGCAGTTATTCAGAAAAGTCCAGGCAACAACAGAATTTAATCGACAGAACAGCTGATTAACAGTGGATTACCACATCCACTGGTGGTAGTGGGAGGCCAGTGTGACCAACTCTTTCTGCTGACAAACTTTTTGCAGACTCCCCTTTAACCTTCTGATCACCAGCGAGACCAACAGTTCAGTGTGGCTCCTCTATAAAGCATCCCACAGGATCACATTTGAAAAGTTTCAGGCCTTTAAAATTTAGACATCAGTGGATGCAGACAGGACCCCCAAGGTCTTAATTTTGAATTTAGGCTCTGAGATAAATAGCTAGTGCCAAATCTCTCCTGTACCTCACAGTGAGAACATTAATTTGGCGTGACTTTTATAGTACATAGCAATTTATATCACAGAGCTAAGATCTGTGTATATTAATAAAGAATATATGCAGTTTCCTCTTTCATGCCAGACAGAAGATATTAGCACATCCTGTTCCAAGCCTTTCACTAGGACAGGGACATCTCCGCAAGAAGGGAAATGTATGACCCAATGACCATTAGTTAAGTCTGAACCAAGATGGGAAGAGTCCTCCACAGCATTTCCCACAACCTTAGCTAGATCCCTGAGAACAGAACAGTATCAGGCATGCTTTATAGAACTACATTCACTACATTTCTTTCTCCCTTCATTTTTCTCATTTATCCAACCTCCAAACTCATTGGTTGGAAACAACTTTTTTTTTTCCTTTTTTTTTTTAATGACTTATTGTTACAACCATGAACAGAAAAAAAAAAAGTTACCTGTTAAAATAACAAATATTTCACAAACTGTTTCACAGTTACAGTATTTAAGTCTCCAGACTTTCCTTCCAGTTTGTTGAAGATTCGGTTGCTGTCTCATTGACAATTTAACTTACAACATGATGGAGCTATGATACTTTTGATCCCCATTTGATACTTGTGAAATTCCCCATTCCCAACCAAAACACCTGAGTCGCTGCTCAGGTGCCCAGTAGTCACAGTGGGCTGACCTGCATCCTCTATACGCTTCCTATTATGACTGCTGGGAATTGCTGGTAACAGAAACTGCTCCTTCTAGACATGCCCTGGTACAGCTATTTGCCCTCGACAAAAGCAAAGGATAATTCCATGCTCTATATTGCTCTTCAAATGCAATGCTGGTCTTTATATTTGTTGAAAAAATACATTTTTCTCAAACTGTTGTAGCTGTGTTTTATTTCTTCCTCATAAGGCACTGAATAGGCACCAGGAGAGGAGGGTTATTCTGTCTGGAAGGCTAAGTACGTACTTTGTGCTGTGCCGTAACATTTCTTTCAACTCTTCCATGTTTATTTTTATCTAGGGGGGAAAAAGAGATTGAAGACAGAAATTTTCCATGCACTGAAAGCTATATTCTTTTCAACTAAACTTTCCAGAGGCCAAAATGAAACAAACATGAAAAACTTATCAACAGCTGTTTTATCTGTTGTGCTTTGTTTAACATGGTTATGTGCGTCTCCCTCAAGGTTCACTGCTTTAAACAATATGAAGGTTAGTTTTATGTAATACAGAAACTAATGTTTCAATGGGTCGGAGCGGTTAATTTAAGAGCTTTATTTCCACAGTCCTTGATACTAATAACATTCTCGGTTCCAGCCTGCCTCCCCCTTTTGGAAAGGAAGCAGTTCTCTCCTGCTGGAATCTGACCCTTGGTCACTGTGTACAAGCTGTGCCAGGTGAAAGAGCTGTTTGGAAACGGAAATAAAAACATTAAATGTAAGTGATTCTCTATAATTGGAGTGGATTTTCAGTGCTCCAGTCAAATGCACAAGAATGAGCGGACCTGCAGGGATAAACTTTCCAAGTTCCTAAGGAGAATGTCCCCTTCAAAGCCAAGATGGATGAACTTGGCTTCATTGCCTCTGGACTCCCAGGGCTGAGCACTGCCTTGCAGGGACTCGGGCACGGCGCTTGTCCTCCCAGATTCCCAGTCACCCTTCCTACTGCTCAGCAGTTCCATGCCTAAGCAGATTAGACCATCCATGCTATCTTTCTCATTTTCACTTTGTATCTCCCTCTGCCCTCTTCTCTCCTTCCTACGTTGTTGCCCTTCTCCTGGGCAACAATATTGCCTCCTCCCAGTACCGTTTCTGATTCTTGTTTTTTCCTCTCTTTCTTGGGTTCAGGCCAGCAGGTAGTGAATCTGTCACTCCTCCTGGATGCGCTGTTGCTGCCTGCTCTCTTCCACCAGCTTGTAGTCTAAGCAATACGCAATCCCTCTCAACATTTATGGTGCTTTAGGAAGCTACACTCCACATCCTCTAACTGCATCAAGTAACTGATCTGCAGCGGACCCACATGCGAACAGGATATGCACCTTTGCAGCCTGGGAATCTCTTCTATAACCTACTTCCAGCTCAGATGCCCGGGTCATCCTCTCTGCCTCCCCCACGGCACCACCCTCACATCACTGCTGCTGTTGGAAGTGGGAGATCGGTCGCAGTGAGATTCATCAGAGCAGCAACAGCGACAGCACAAGAGAGAAAGTTATTTACAAATCAGAACCTGAAAGTGGGGGGCAACACATATGAAGGGTCAGCCTATAATTCCCATTTCATAGGCATTAGAGATCAGATTTTTTTTTGATCCACTTCATTTGAGCAGTGGAAAGAGTCATATCTAAAATGCCCTTGAAAGTTAAAAGAACTCAGTGTAAACCTAGTGTTGACTGGACCTAAGTCAATAACCACAACCCATTACTGGACTAATATAGAGACCTGGGCATGGTGAAATACAACACGGCCCTCAGCTGCCCTGTTGGAAGCCTAATAGCGGGTTAAGTCAGCACAGCCTCTAGGATACTCTTAATTTATATACCTGAGCTGGGATGGCAGCTGGAATGGGATTAACAACAGAGCTTGCTGTTTTGTGCTAAGAAGACTCTACTTTATTGTTAGAGTGATGGCTTAACCAGCTGCCCATCAGGGTAACACTGCAGCTGCTTGTTCATTGCAACTGGAATTCAGTTCCCAACACACGTTCTCCAGCCTCCTCAACGCTGAGTGTGAGGGTGGGCACAACAGACTCGGTCTGGGATAAAACTACCATGTCTCATTAAGATGTACGTGTGATAGCTGCTTTGGAATGTTGAATTTAACCTGGATGAGAAATATTAGCATTGTCATCAGTTGTCTACGTCTTAAGGAGGAAGAAAAGGATGATTGCATAGGAATGTCTGGCTGACGAGCACGCAGGCGTTACCTTCTGAAACGGAGAGCTCGGCCAGCTTGTGCGGCAGGTCTGAAGTCCCTGCACCAGCAGGAGAGCCCAGAATATCCGGCAGGGCGTTCCGGCGTCCTGCCCTTCCCGAGGCTGCAAAATCTGTGACCACAGGCTCCACATCAGTCATTGCTGACTTCTTTCCTCATAGCAGCATCTGCATACAGAACAAAGATAAAAAGCAAACAGCTGTAGCCTGGCATGAAACATGAAGTGCTTCTTCAAGAGCGATGCTAATCACCTGCTCCACAATACAGCAGCCATGGGCTTTGCCCAGTAGGTCTTTTATTGGTAAATGTCACATAGTGCACTATGGGGAGCCAAAGCTTCATCTCTGCTCCAGAAAAGAAAAAAAAAAAAGCAAAAAAGAATCCTTCTGCATTTCATTATGTTTCCATCTGCACCTGCATGCCAGCACAAACACTAACAGCGTGAATTGCTCTTTGCCTACAAGAAGCCTGTAAATAGTCAGCCACGGACCTTTCTAACAGACACTTGTATGTCTTTTTTGACCTGACCCTTCCTCGCTCATTTTAAAGGCTTGTGCCAGATAATCACTTGGATGGGAACTGAAACTTGATCACCTTGTCTCTGAGAAGTAGCACATTTTCTTTACTATGAAGCTTGTTTAGGCTGAAACAAAATCCTTCCACAGGGGAGTAAATTATGCAAAAGAGTCTTCTCAGATAACTAAGAACAAAAATCTCCATAACACTTTATCCTGAAAATAGGAAGTCATCTTCTTCCCTCTATTCTTACAGAAATACCTTGTTGGCTTAGCTTACCCTCAGCTTGTGCGTGCGACTTTTTTTCCCTAATAAATAATTTAATCCCAGAAATAACAGAACCAACAGTACTCGATTCACTCAATCCCTGTTGCAAAGCCCACTGAATTGAATGGTAAGACCCAAGCAGACTAAAATGGTTTTTGGATGAGACACAGGTGTGTGTGCGGGATTCACACCCCAGGGCAGCAGCTGAAATGAGAACACCTGTAGGAGGAGGCAGTAGTAGTGCTTGGCTGCATGAAGCCACACAGATAATCTGGGAAAACTGCAATTAGTGACTGTGTTATTAAGAATCACAAAAAAAAAAAAAAAAAGTCCTAGAAGAATTATACATAATAATTTCTGGTAGTTAAAAGAGTCATTTCTAGTAATTAGACATGAATTGCTCAATTAAAAATATTTTCCTGCCATGTATGTGTGTGGGTCTTAACGTGAGAGCCCAAGTGCTGTTCCTTCGTGTAAAAGAGGTCAGTACTTTACACAGGAAGGGACAGAGACAGGGCTGGAAATTCATCTGATAGACTATCAGCTGGTGATTGATAAGTGGCCATACTTCAAAGAAGACATGTTAAGAAAAGCCTCAATTATTTTAGTTTTCTTCATTTATGAAGCAAAATGCCATACAATCATCTTTATGGAATGTTTACAAGATACAGAAATATTAGTGCTCTTATTTCTTGGACAGAAGCTTGGGCAGAGCTTTGACTGTGATGCTGACCATGTGTTTCAACCAAAAAGAACATTCTTCTTTTCTCTCTTAAACTTACTACCCACTGTCTCATTCCAGCTGAAATAAATAATCTTAAATCTTCTTTATATCTCTAAATGCACTAACGTTTCTTGCTAGGAAACAAAAGCATGAATAAAATCTGCAAGTCTGAAGGATGACTTGAACATGTAAATAAAGCACTTTTTTAAACTGAAATCAGTAACTGAAAGTTCTGACCTAAGGACCTGGTTTCAACCCCACATGAAAGCAGTCAGACCAAGTCAAAAGAAACCTTTTCCATAAGCAGTAGAACTGTAAAAACTGTAAGTGGACATTCTAGAAAATTCCACTTCTGAGAAAACATAAAAGATGAGTTCTGATATTCTAGTTTAGATATAGCATTCTATAATGGATTCATTAAAATAGGTGACAGGATATACCAAAAACAAGCAGAATGAATCAAAATGTACAGACCCTGGCCCATAGCGTTTTGTGGGTGTTTGTATTCGTTGTAGTTGTGCTAAGTATAGTTCCCTACATTAACACAAGAGCACGTAAAAAGACTGTATATTCTACCGAACAGAACAGAAACTACCCAGGGCCTTCCTCTGCTTGGTGCAGCTGCCAGCCCCTGCTCCCAGCACTGTTGAAGTTGCTGCATTTTGGGGTTCTGCAGTTCAGTGGGACAATCCTGTTCTGATCTGACTCTTACTCATGTAAAGGTCTACAACGAACAGACCCTGGTATCACAACCCACCAAAGACTTGTGCGAAGCTGAGGACCTTTCTCTCTAGCCCATTTCTTTCCCCCATGATGTAATCTCCCTTCACTGCATAATATTAGGCCACTTTGAAAGACAGTGAAGGACACGGTCGGGCATGCTTTCATGTACTTGAATCCCGAGTTACGTATTTGATTAAGAGATTGTGCAGAGACAAATCATGGGACATTTGTCAGAGAGGAAATCACCCCGCCATTAGCCATCAATCTGGTAGCCACAAGTCAAATGTACTATCTAAAAATAATAAAAGGGCACTATCCTTTTATACTGAGTAGATGCTATTCTTTTATATTTAGTAGTTGCCATAACATTTTCATCTTTGTGTTGATAACTGAGGCTGAGCACTGAGTTCAAAGTTATGTGCCAGTCGCTGAGCTAGGACACTTACCATTTTTAAGTGGGGGGGACACAGGATGTTCTCTAGGATTATTTGAAAGAAGAGGGGTTATTCCAGCAGGCTTAGAAATGACATTACATATCAAAACTTAAGTCCATTTTGGAACTATTCCTTCCCTCCAACATATGACAGTCCATATTCAGAATAAGTCATTACTGTACTATATATAAAACATACTTATTTCTTTAATGTTGTAAGAAGTCTGTTCTGTCTTGCAATAGTATTTCTAAGGCCTCTACCCAGGTAAGGGTGCAGAGCTCCTGCACTCTTCATCTGTTTTCTAGCTTTATTTTTTTTAATCATTTCTATCAGCAAATAGATATCTTTTTTTGAGGCTGGCATCTTCTCACATGTTTTATGTCTAGCATTTTTCATGCTTTCTTACAGACTAAATAATAATCACAGTGCTCATAGCATCTGTTTTCCCAGTTCCAGTCCTCCTGCTGGCAACATCTCCGTCAGCTTCACTGAACATATTTCACTTAAGACTTATCCAAGTTAAAGAGGGTTACATCTTGCCAGTGCCAGCATGTAGTTGCCTCTCTCAACTTCCCAAATTATTGTTGTCATTTTCTTCCCTCATCACTGCTCACCAGACTGGAGACAGTACATAGTTCTAAAAGAAGAGTGACAGATTTCTCAAGCAGAAGACTCCCTACTTCCCTGTTTCTTTTTCAGTAGCAAAAAGCAGGCAGCCCAAAGGCAAGAGAGGGGAGGACCAGGTAAGAAATGGGGTCAGGTGAGGAAGAAGACTCTTGCAGAGGGTCAGCAGTAGGAAGACAGATGAACTTCCCACAAAAACCTCTCCTACTAAAACACGAGACCAAAGACTTTGACAGGTGTGATAAATTACAAAAGGTAGCCCAAATACTACTGCATGGCTACTCCATAGGAACAGGCTGGTTTTGTACCCCGCTACCGGGCCATGACATGGTGCTAAGTGGTGGTGGGGGGTACTAAGTTTATGTCATACAGCCACCTAGAAATGCTGTTGGACCAAGGACTGCACAACAGATCCTGCCCCCCATATATGAGGGAGAAGGAAACAGTCAGTTCCAACCAAAAATAAAAAGTGATTAGTGTATCTATGTGACATTTAAAGAAGTGTCTTCAGACAAAACAATGGCATGCAAGCTACTGTTTTTTGCCTCTTGGGAGAAAATGAGTCATACAGCTGACAAAAAATTATTTAAAGTAAATGACAAAGGCAAAGAACAAATAAGGCTCTGGAAACTAGCACGATGGTTTTGCTGAGGATCGAGAAGAAGAGTGTTTCACAGCTCTCAGCTGTAACTGCTGCCACAGTCCACACTAAATGTCAGTGCTGTCTCTCCCTTCCCCGATCTATTAGGAAGTAGATAAATCACCACTGTACATATTTGTGAAAGCTCTTTTTTCTTCTGGTCTTTTTTTCTGTCGTATACAGAGACAAAATACTGCTGTTGTTCTGCTTGGAAGGACAAACATTTCCTCAGGAAATGTCAAGAGGTTCCTGACACTAGTATTGCTGCCACTCCGTGCAGAAGGTGGAAAGACCAAACACATCACTCCTTGCTGCTCAAGATACTTCTGTCCTTTCAGAAAGTTCTCTCTTAGCTCTTATGAATAGCCTGTGTCTGCACTATCAGCGAGAAACTTACACTTTCCAAACCCAGTTTTCTTCTGAAGGCCCATTAGTAAGAACAAACTAAATAATGCACCTCTCACAAACACTGGAAAAACAGAATGGCAAAATGAGACTGTTCCAACCAGACAGACTGAATTTGTGTCTTGATGGTCTGTTACTGTATTGTCAACTTAATTTAAACATCTTTATTCAGAAAAAAAAAAATCTTTTTTCATTTGTAAGCAGTAACTCTTAGCTCTTCAAGCTTTTCCCCCCAAAAGCCTACAAGTTTCCAAGTAATGTCATCTGACAACTTACTTTATGAGATGCTTCCCACAGTGCAACTGCAGTGAAAACCACATCTCCTTGCAGTTGCTGTGCTTTCATATCCTCTTATGCTGCAGCTACTTCCCGATGCCTTTGCTTCCTCTTCCTAAAAATGCCAGCTAGAATTATAACATTCTCATTATACAGGCTTACATAATCCTCGTGCTTTCTTCTGAAATGGTCCTGGACCACTTAAAAGGAAAAAAAACGCACACGTTCATGTCTTTAAGGAATGCATTCCAGAGACTGCTGCAAAGACTAACCCTACATTGGGCACTTGCACAACAGTTTTTGTGAGAAAATCACTGTTACGCGGTTTTACATATGAATAAAATTTGTAACATACTTATAAGCCTAGTACCGGGAATCACACAGAAACATAAGCAAGTGGTCTATGCCAATTTTGTAATCAAATACAGGAGATTTTACTGTGTTTGCACTTAATATACAGGACCACACATTTCATAGTAATTGCCAAGCAATACAGCTAATGAAAGTTAAAAGAGAAGTACTCAGGAAAAAAACAGATTCCCCAGCTTTACTGTTTCTGATACATTTCTAAAGTTGAATATGAAATCC